GCGCCCCCAGGGCTGCGGGAGGTCGCTGGCTGGTCCTGGCACCGGGTCGTTGCCACGCGTGCACCGCGAGGGTCGGAGAGACTGGGAGCTCTGCGCCTTCTGCTTCCTCCCCGCACGAAGTCACGTCTGTGACTCCAGATTGTCCAAGGCCCCGGGAGAGCTGCCTCCTTGCGGTGTGCCTGCGGGGACCTGAGCGGGACCGGAGGGGGGATCTGAGCGGGACCTGAGCAGGACCGGAGGGGGGAACCTGAGCGGAACCGGAGGGGTGATCTGAGCGGGACCAGAGGTTTGACGCCTGGAAGTTACTTGCAGCTGGAAAGAGCGGGTGCGACCCTGGGAAGACAGCCTCCTGTTTGCGGGGGACCTTACAGATGCTTCCTCTCACCCCCCCCCACTAGCCTTGAGGCATGAAGGTGTGACATGTCCCCCAGACCAGGAACAGGCTTTACACTCATAGGCCCCCCAAGTTCTGCTCGACAGGGCCGGGGGGAAGGCTCTGAACGTTGCCCAAAACGCACCCGCAGGGAGCGCTCCCCATGGCTTTGCCAGCTCAGCCCACCAGAGAGCTGGATGGAGTCGGTGCCCCTCCTCCCGCCTGTGGGATTAACGTCTAATGAATCAGTGACCAAAGAGCATGAACTTTATATCAAGAACCTTTCTAAGAATCAGGGTTTTCTGTGGAAAGGGCTTGCCAGCCACGCCCAGTCATCAGAATGTTGGCGTGAAAGCAGAATTGTCTGAGCGTCCTGTTGACATCTCTCCCTAGAGCGGAACGCGCTGTGTGCGGAGTGCGGTGCGTGTGTGGAGTGCCGTGCGTGTGTGGGGTGGAGTGCGTGTGTGACATGTGAGTACAGGCTCCTGTGCTCGTGTCCGCACGCCTGTCTCTGTGTTTCCCGGGGCTGAGAAGCCGTTGTGTCGCCCGCCTTTAGGTCGACATCATGGACATCTGCGAGTCCATCCTGGAGAGGAAGCGGCATGACAGCGAGCGGTCTGCGTGCAGCCTCTTGGAGCTGAATGACATCGAAGCTGTCGAGGCTCTTGTGTGCATGAGCTCCTGGGGTCAGAGGCCCCGGGCAGGCGACCTGTGGAAGATGAGACCCCTCACGCCTGTGTCTGACTCTGGGGATGTCGCCGCCCCTCTGCTGGTGGACGAGGCCACACCCGAGCTGCCCAAGGACCTCCATTCCTTGTCGACGCTGGTAAGAGGCGGGGGGAGGAGAGGTGTGTGCAGTGGCCAGCGCGCCTGGAATACATGTGCTGCGGGACGCGTGGGCAGGGTCCCTGGGAGGCTGGCAAGCAAGGGCACGGCCTCCCCTGTGGAGGGCCTGAGACGAAGCTGTGTTTTGTCTTTTGGAAACATGTTTTTCCATGGATCGACCACAGCTTGCAGCCACAGGGCTAAAATGTGCATAGCACAAAACCTACAGGTTGATTTGAGAAAGCAAAACGTACTCATTTCCCTGGGCAATTGCAGGGTGGGGACCAGGTTCCCCCAGATGACCGAGTCCAGGGTCAGGGTAAGTGGGTGGCGGCTGGGGAAAGCCCGTGCGTTGGCACCAGACACCCTAAGTTAGCGGGTGGAAATACTGGCCTCTGCCTCCAGGTGGCAGCCAGCTTCTGACTTGGGGGAGTTGGCTGCCATCAGGCACTGTGTTCTGTTTCCTTAACTTGCTGAGGCTCTGACATTGCTGGGAGAAACGCGCCTCAGCTTGGAGAGGTGAGAGCTGTCTGTCACTAACGGAAGTGAAAGTGGTCACCTAATGGCCCTGGGCTGGAAGCTGGCGCTGGAGAGAGACTGCGGGAACCGCTTGGAGAGGGATGAGAAGGGCCGAGCGTGCGTAGCGAGGACTGCAGAGTCTGGCCTGGCTGCTGGAGCCCCTCAGAGCTCTTGGCGTGGGGCTCTTCCCGGGAAGGCTGACAAGCGGGAATTGTTGGGGCGGTACAGAGAGGCTTGGTTTAGGCAGGCCACCGGTTAGAGCAGCGGTTCTCAACCTGTGGGTCGCGACCCCTTTGGGGGTCAAACGACCCTTACACAGGGGTCGCCTAAGACCATCGGAAAACACATCTATAATTACATATTGTTTTTGTGATTAATCGCTATGCTTTAATTATGTTCAATTTGTAACAATGAAATTGGGGGTCACCACAACACGAGGAACTGTATTTTTATTTTGATTTTTTACAGAGAGGAAGGGAAAGGGATAGAGAGTTAGAAACATCAATGAGAGAGAAACATCGATCAGCTGCCTCCTGCACACCCCCCACTGGGGATGTGCCCGCAACCAAGGTACATGCCCTTGACCGGAATCGAACCTGGGACCCTTCAGTCCCCAGGCTGACGCTCTATCCACTGAGCCAAACCGGTTAGGGCACGAGGAACTGTATTAAAGGGTCTCGGCGTTAGGAAGGTTGAGAACCACTGGGTTAGAGCGTGGCCTCTGGGCATCATCGCTCTGACGGGTTTGCCTGGCCTCATCTCGCGGGCACTGGCTGAGTGTGTATCAAATGAGAACCACTGGGGTTTCAGAAACATTTCTGAGGATCCAAAGTTACTGTGGAAAGCTCTCCCTTGAGTGTCAGTTTGTTTTCTCATCATAGTCCTAACGCTCCCATCGCTCGTTTCCGTCACTGTGCGGGCCCAGGAGCGGCACTGATTACCCCGAGCACAGGGATAGGTTTGGGAGGTCAGGAAAGCGGGGGAGACCAGAAAGTAGAGGCTTAGACCAGTTTTTTTAAAGGCGTCGGGAGCATCCTGGTCAAAGTAAATGCCTTTTAAAATGTAACCAAAGCAGCCTTTTCCACACAGTCTTTTCTTCTCCCCCAAGTGCATGACTCCTCCTCAGAGCCCTGACCTCATGGAGCCATTGGCGAGAACACTCGTTCCTTCCCAAGCACCTGATTCCAAAGCACGGGTGGCAGCCAGCGCCCTCAGCCGGAGGGAGGAGAGGAGCCTGCCAGGTTTGAAGCCAGAGTGGCTGCAGCCGGCCCCTGGCGCCCCCTGCAGGGCTGTGGTGGCCGGTGCCACCCACCACGCCCTGGGGAGTCCTGCTCCCGGCCACATTCCTGCCTCCCAGCCTCCAGACCACAGGGGAGGAGCAGCACCGCTTCGGGGACACGCGGAAGCTTTGCGGGACGCGCACCCCAGAGACACTCCCCTCACCGTGAACTCAGGGCCCCGTCCGCCTTGCTCCAAGAAGTCTGGCGACCGGGTCCCCCCCGACCAAGGCCAGCTGGCAGGTCGGCCGGTTGCGGTCCCACCCTGCTCACCAAAGAACTGTGAAAATAACCTGCCCGGGAACACCGCGCCTCTCATTTCTGTCCCCGTCCCCAGCCCCCCCGTCCTTTGCCAGATGGTCCCTGTGACTGGACAGAGTGGCGTGTTGCCGGCATTTTTGAAGGCACCTCCCCCCGTCTCCGCCGGGACTGTCGCACCCATTCTGCCCCACGCTGCTCCAGGGCCCCAGCCGGTGCTCATGGGACCACCTGTGCCTCCGGGAGCTGTGATGCTGGTGCTGCCCCAGGGGGCGCTCCCCCAGCCCGCCTCCTGCTCCCCGGCAGGTGTCGTGGCTGCGGGGAACACCAGGTTGTTGCCTCTGGCCCCGGCCCCCGTGTTCATCGCCACCAGTCACAACGGGGCCCCTCAGGCAGACTTTTCCCGAAGGAGGAACTATGTTTGCAACTTTCCAGGCTGCCGGAAAACCTACTTCAAAAGTTCCCACCTCAAGGCTCACCTCCGCACCCACACAGGTAAGTGCGAGGCAGGTGGGCAAGGGAGGCGCGGATCCATGTCGGAACCTGTCTGGGTTCCTAGAACACGGCATTGGCTCACCCCGTGCACAGAATGTAGGCGTCCTGTGGCGGCGACCCTTTGCTAGTGTTTAGGGTGATGCTTATGTGGCCCCTTTCTCTTCACGTGGCCGTGGGCATGCCATTCTCTCTGCGTGTTGGAAACTGCACCCCCATTCAGTAAACATCAGTGTGACTTAGGGTTACTGCGGGGCAAGGTCTCTCCAGTGTGTGGGAAAGTGTGAACTTCTGGAATATTTGAAATGTGAAGGAGAATAGTTTTCTTTTGGGAATATGTAGTTTTTCATTCAGAAGTCACACAGAAAGTATAATGACTTAGCGGTCTCTTTATGTCTTAGCTGCATTCAATAGAATTTTCTGCAAGGATGGAAAGTTTCTCTGCCCATTAGGAGAGCCGCTAGCCACACGCCCTTGAAATGTGGACCGTGACTAAGAAACTGAACCTGACGCATTCGTTAAGTTCACATTTATGTAACTCGGGGCTGGTGCTGCCGGGCTGTAACAGGTGTGAGGCCCCCGGGCGGGTTTCTGCCTGGGTCGCTGAGGGTGGGCTCTCAGGTGTCCGGGGCATGCTGCTCTTTGGGTCAGTGTTCTGTCTTGTTCTGCAGGGTCCAGTCGGCTTGTTAAACTCGCCTTTCAGGGTGTACACACACACACACACAGACAGACACACACACACACACACAGACAGACACACAGACAGACACACACACACACAGACAGACAGACACACACACACAGACAGACACACACACACACACACACACACCACACACACACACACACACACACACACACACACCCGTTCTGCAGCGAAGATTGCTCCATAAACTCTGGCCCTGAAATCCCTCCCACTGGCGTGTCTGCTGCTGGCCTGTGGGACAGCAGCGCAGATGGGCAGGGTGGGGGGGGGGCGGAGGGAGAGGGCCCTCCCTGGCACACTGCAGCTCTGAGGGGGCAGCTCCTGCTGGAGCATGGAGCAGCCTGGAGTTGGCGGGCGTTGCAAAGGGAGCTCTAGGCTTCTACTCTGCGGGCGGGCAGCTGATTGCTCAGGTGCAGGCTCCGAGCCTGGCCCGCCAAGCACCTGCCTCTCCGCCCTGACCTTCTCTCCCCAGCTCCACATCCTGCCCTTGACCTTCCCTCCCCATCTCCACATCCTGCCCTTCACCCACCACCCTCTGCCCAGCTCTTCTCTCTGAAAACCCGGGAAGGGCCTTCTCAAAGCCGTTCTTACAAGTGTTTCCTGATCTCATTCCTTCCTGACCCGAGCGGTGTACTGTATGTCCACCACACTTTCTTCGTGTTTTAGTTTCTTATGTACTTGACTGACTGACTGACTGTCTGACTGGATATAAACTCTTGGTGTCGCCCGTCCGGAGTGGCTCAGTGGTTGGACGTCGACCTATGAACCAGGAGGTCACGGTTTGATCCCCAGTCAGGGCACATGCAGTCAACCAATGAATGCATCAGTGAGTGGAACAACCGTTCTGGCTCTAAAAATCAATGTTTTTAAAAAAATACTAAGGAAAAAAGCCTTCCCCTTACCACAAGCTAACAGTTGAAGAGTTATTTTTATTTAAACGTAGCTTTTGAAAGATTGGACATCCTTGGGCCCTGCCACATTACAGCTCAGGTGTGGCAGGAAGAATGCAGCTTGGAGGATTTCTTGACTTCTGAGTGACCCGATACCAGTATAACTGTCCTAGATTTTGAGGAACAAAATTTAAAAACAACATGGGTCAGCCCTAGCTGGTTTGGCTCAGTGGACAGAGCGTCGGCCTGTGGACTGAAGGGCACATGCCCAGGTTGCAGGCTCGATCCCCAGTAGGGGGCATACAGGAGGCAGCCAATCAGTGATTCTCTCTCATCATTGATGTTTCTTTCTCTCTCTCCCTTTCCCTTCCTCTCTGAAATCAATAAAAATATATTTTTTTAAAAAATAAAAACAACACAGCTGCTGAGCGCTTAGTTTTCTGTAATGTGTGTTTTCTCGCCGCCAGGGGAGAAGCCGTTCAGCTGCAGCTGGGATGGCTGCGATAAGAGGTTCGCGCGCTCGGATGAACTGTCCCGCCACCGCCGGACGCACACCGGGGAGAAGAAGTTCGCGTGCCCCGTGTGCGACCGGCGCTTCATGCGCAGCGACCACCTGACCAAGCACGCCCGGCGTCACGTGACCACCAAGAAGCCACCTGGCTGGCAGGCAGAGGTTGGCAAACTGAACCGAATCGCCTCGGCAGAGAAACCCAGGAGCCCGCTGGTGAGCAGGCCGGCCTCGGCCTGAAGGGCCGGCAGGGAGTCACCCATGGGAACTTAAAAAGGCTTTTCAGGGAAGGACGGACTGATGGTTCTCTCCCAAAACCACTGTCGTGGGGGCTGGGGAAGAGCAGAGGCTGGTTCTGATGAGCGTATGTTACCTGTTCTCTTTTTGGTTGAGACCCTGTTCAGTGTCTTTTGTAGTTTCAGAAGTTTTTTAAGGAAAATGAAGAAAATTTGACGATCTAAATCACCAGCATTCAAACATTTCGGCAATAAATTTTTAAAAATCTGGATTTTTACAGCCTTTCTATTCATGTTTTGTAGAAACGAGACAGGGTATGACTTTATACTGTTTTTTTATGAAAAGATTTATATTGTTGGTACTCCGATCACCAGTTTCTAGATAGATGATTTTGCAGTCTTTTCAATGGTTCACGTTTTTATAAGAACCCTTCTTTCAGTAACCTTGAAACATTATTCAGCCAGAAAAAAAATATCGCAAGTTTGTAATCAGGCCTTTTAGAGCTAAGAATTTTTTAGAATCAAACTGGTTGACAGGGTCTCTTAGAGAAATGCCACACTTTCCTCTGAAAGCGTGGCAGGCAGCTTCCTCGTGACATTCTCTGGGGACGCTCCAGGCAGCCATTCCTTCACAGCTGTAGCCCAAGGATCAAAATTTTGGTTGCATAGAACTAGTCACCTGTGTCCGCGGTGTGACTTGTGCAGGATGTACCCAGAGGATGACTTTAACACACTCCACAGACAGACAAACAGACACCGTGTGGTCAGGGAGCCTCGGTAGGATCTGTCTGTGCTCTGTGGAGAGCACAGCATTCGCAATTCCCTGTTTGTACCTCAAACACCGAGGGAAAAAAAGAAGAAAAAAGATGCCGTAAGCACGTTACCCAGCTGCCCAGTTGTCAGGGACTTTTACTGTGGCCTCTTCCGTAGTATTTTTGTGGGCAGAGCAACTTCTTAGAGCAGCAGGGAGTGGTCTCATTGGTGGGAGGAACTTCCCACCCAAGTACAGGTCTGTACTCTGCACACCCAGGCGAAGGTGCATGCAGGCGGCCCAGCCCAGTGGTCTGGCTCCTTGATCCATTGAGAACTGGAGGAAATGCAAGTTATGCTTTTCCAGCTGCCACCCAGCTGCCCTTTCACTTGTGGTGTTTGAAGGAAACTGATCACAGAAAACTCCTTGCATTGGGGGTGTTTTGCCGTCCGACAGGAAGTAGACCACGGGCACCGACGTTGAAGCTGTGAGCACAGGCCCTCGCTCCACAGCGCCTGCCCCTGGCGACACCGAGAATCCAGGCGGCAGAACGTGCGAAGGAACGGAGGGATGGTGTCCATTGTGCCTGGTGTTCAGAGTTTGTCTTTGCCTCTTGGGGCTTGGCATTTACCTTTATTAGAAGGATGGTAAGGTGAGATATTGAATAAATATAATGAGGTTCGTGCAAGAGAACACCAATTAGATGCATACAGCGCCGGTCCTTTCTCTCCCACTCATACCTTTAAATCAGCATGAACACCTCTGTGTGCATGTCCGAGGCGGCATTAAGTTTGGGTATTTCCCCTCATTATGCAAAACAATGTTAGTCCTGCCAATGTGGTGGCGGATCCCACAAGGTGGAGTGCTTGCTCGCGCGTCACGCGGAATGTCATGCTCTGAGCAGCGTTTCTAAGGAGACGGGCTGCCCGTGGTTTTGATTTGCGCTTCCATTCCTGATCGGATGTAGAAATGCCTCCTGGAAACAGACTTCCTTTGCCTTCTGTCTGTCCCTGGAAGACGGCAAGTTGGGAAACAGTTTTGTCTGAAGAATTCTGTCCTGAGAGCCACCCTTGGTTGGTTCCACATGGAGCCCCGCGGCAGGCAGCTCTGGGCGCCCAGGCGGAGCCTCCCCTCTCC